GAGCTCTGTGAGTTCAAGGCCAGCTTGGTCTCCATAACAAATCCAGGCCAGCTGGCTACAGGGAAAAAAAAAAAAAAAAAAAAAAAAAAAAAAAAAAAAAGCCCCAGGAAGTGTTGATCACAGCAAAGACTGAATGAGACTGAGGAAGGCCACCACTGGCAGCTCCTTAAGGGATTCTGCAACATCATCTACATCATAACATTTTCTTTCTCTCAGCCTAAAAACCGCTTTAGCAAAACTGTTCTGAGCAATTACAATTTAAAAAGATTTCCCTCTCTCATCTAAAGAAAGAGCTAGCTCATTTCTCCTTGTAGAGTTTGCCACATGGTTCATTAGGGACAGATATGCTAGAAACCTTGGATGGGGGGAGCAGAGAAGTTGCTCAGCTGTTAAGAGCACTGGCTGCTCTTACAGGGGACCTGAGTTCGATTCCTAGCACTCACATGATGACTAACAACTGTCCATAACTCCAGTTCCAGGGGATCTGACACCTTCTGACCTCCATGGGCATTGCACAACATGGGTGCACTTAACATATATGCAACCAATACACTCATACACATAAAATAAAAATAATAAATTAAAAAAAAACTTTAGATACTCAATGGCTTCAGAGAAGCCCCAAGAGAAGGAGCTCTGTGCCCTAAACCAACAAAGAACACTCTGTTAGTGACTCCTGCCAGCCAGATCCTAATAACATGGATGTTCTGCAGGCTCCAGACTTAAAAATGTGCTTTGTTTCTGTGAGTCAGCCTGTCTATTTTATCACTGTTACAAAATACCTGACATAATCAGCAGTGGGCTTGTTTTGTTTCCACACAGGACCTTGCTATCTATCCCAAGCTGGTCTTGAACTCACAATATTCCTGCTTCTCAGCCAGTTCTGGTATTACAGGCACGCACTTCTACTCCTGGTATTGAGATAATCAACTTCTACAGACAAAAGTCTTATTTTGGCTCACAGTTTTGGAGGTCTCAGTTCACAGGCCCTTAGCTGTAGTTCTAGGCTTGTGTAGCACAGTACATTGTGGAGGAAGCACATGACAGAGGGAGCCTTACACTTCATGATGGCCAAGAAGCAGAAAGTAGGAGTGGGGGCGGGGAGACTGTGGACCCACACTGTCTTCAAGGGCATGGCTCCAATAACCCAATTTCCTCCTTCTAGGCCCCATTTCCTAAAGGTTCCACCACCTCCCAACAGTGCACGGATTGGTGATGAAGCATTTAACAGATGAGTCTTTAAGGGGAAAGTCAAGATCTAAACTTTATCCATTTCTATAGCATCATGAATTCCAACAACAGTTCTGCTTACCTGGCTAGCCCTGCCTGTCAGTTCTAAAACCTGCATGCAGGCCAGCGTGGTGACACATGCCTGTAATCTCAGCACTTGGAATGATCATGAGTTCAAAGTTATCCTTGGCTGTATAGTGGGTTGGAGACCAGCCTGGGCTACATGAGACCCTGTGTCAAACAATAAAACCTGCGTCCAGTGGATCAGTAAAAGCACTCTCAAGGCAGATGTTTTTAAACTTTGAGGTTCACTGACTCCTTTGTGGGACATGAAGCCTTGTGAGCCACCTGGTCCCTTGATGCCTCACTCAGGCTTCTCAAGAGAAACCGAGAAAAAGTCCCTTCTAGAGCTCACCATTTCCACCTTGTATGCCCAGGATCAGCCACGGCTGCCTCTGATTAAAAAGGACCAATAGCTTTCTTGTTCTTTTTTTTAAAAAATATTTTATTTATTATTATTATCATTATTATTATTTTATTTTTTTTATTTTGGTCTTTTTGAGACAGGGTCTCCCTGTATCCCCAGCTGTCCTGGAACTATGTAGACCAGGCTGGCCTCAAACTCACAGAGATCTGCCTGCCTCTGCCTCCTGAGTGCTGGGATTAGGAGCATGCACCACCATGCCCAGCTCTTTTATTTATTTATTTTTATGGGGCTTTTTGCTACTTTAACATTCCTCCCTCTGAAGAGGTAACCCTAAAATCTTTTAAGGATCAGATAAAAGCTCCCAATCTACTTGTTTTTTTGAGACAGGGTTCTAGGTAGCCCTGGTGGCCTAGGAACTTGCTATGTAGACCAAACTGACCTCGAACTCAGAGACCCACCAGGCCCCGCCTCCTGAGTACTGAGATTAAAAGTGTGTGCCACCACATCCTGCAGGAGTCAACTTGACATAATCCCAGAATTCAGTCACCCTAAAGACTACATAAGACTGCTTACCAGCCTCCTCCACAGCTTCGTTCCCAGCTGTCTCTCTCCTTTGAGGGGAGGCAACTGGATTGAAAGCAGAGCTGTCCAGTCAGGTGACTGCTTCTCAGTCACATGCCAAGCTGTCCTATCATTCCATACCACCAATTTACACTGGGCCCATTTCTCCTTGGCCTTATGTCTTCCTGTCACAAGCCCACCCATACTCACAGAAGCCCACTTCCTGAGCCAAAGCTCACTTAGCTCCCTGTTCACCTAAACTCTCTGGAATTTCAGTTCACCAAGGTTTCTTTCGTACGCCACTTTTTTCTAAGACCCATGGAAGAGTGTGTGTCGGGTTCAGGGTTTTCCTGTTATAAGACTTATCAAGGCCTTTATATAATGAGATGGGAAATCAAGACCTAGATTCAGATCTAATACTTAAAGCTGTTTGACACCATGTACTTTCCTTCCCACCAAGCCTGTTTTCTGAAGTTTAAACACACTAACTTTGATGTACTTTCTATTCAGTTGGGTCTCTTTCCACTGAAAGTGACTGAAAATTCATTAGAAACTTAGAGGCTAAAGAGATGGCTCAGCGGTTAAGAACACTGGCTGTTCTTGCAGAAGATCCGGGTTCAAATCCCAGCACCCATATGGCAGCTAACAACTGTCCATAACTCCAGTTCCAGGGGATCCGACATCCTCTTCTATCCTCCAAGGGCATTGCACAACGTGTGGTGTGCACTTACATACATGTATACACATAAAAAAAAGAAAGAAAAAAGAAACTAGCTAGCCAGGCATGGTGCCTTTAATCTCAGTACTTGAGAGGCAGAGGCAGGCAGATCTCTGAGTTTGAGGCCAGCCTGGGCTACATAGTGAGTTTCAGGTCAGCTGGGACTACGGGGAGACCCTGTCTTAAAAAAGACCAAAAAGATAAAAAAGAAACTAGTTTAGGAGAAAAGGAATTTACTGGCTCACCTAAGTTCAAAGTCCAAGGACAGACCTAGTCTTAGAAAGGATTTGACACTGAAGCTCACATCCCCAGAAAGTAATTTTTCTAAATCTCAGTTTGGCCTCTTTGTCTAATATACTTTGTATTTTTCTTCTTGTGATAAAGCTGGTGCTTAATAATTGTTGGTTAAATTTATTCTGTGTATTTGTGTGCATCTGTGTGTGCACATACATTTGGAGGTCACAGGTCAACATCAGGTGTCTTCCTCATTCTCCACCTTACTGAATTTTTACTGTGGCTTTTATGTGGAGAGCTGGGAATCTGAACTCAGGTCCTCATGCTTGCAGCATTTTACCAACTGAATCATATCTTCAGCCTGAATTTTGTAAATGTTTAAAATGTCTAAAGAACTTTAAACCTTTCAGCATTAAATCCAGAGGAAACATCTTCCCCAGCACCATAAAAACAAGAAAAGACAAATATGGTAGGGATTCTACTTACATGAAGTGCTTAAAAGAACAAAAATCCAGAGAGAAATGGAAAGGTGGATGTGAGGGAGGGACTCGGGAGAGAATGGGAATTATTCCTTCATAGGGAGTTTCCATTTTATTTTTTTATGTGTATGGGTATATTGCCTGCATGTAGGTAAGTGCACCCATGTCGTGCAATGCCCACAGAGGCCAGAAGAGGCTGTTGAATCCCCTGGGACTGGAGTTACGCACAGTTGTTTGCTGCCATGTGGGTGCTGGAATTCCAACCTGAGTCTTCCTTCTGCAAGAACAACCAGTGTTCTTAACCACTGAGTCATCTCTCCAGCCCCGGGAGTTTCCATTTTAGAAGAGCTCTAGAGATGGATGGAGGTGCTGGTTGCTCAACAATATGCATCTGCATAATGCCACTTAACTGCACACTTTAAAATGCTTAATAATTTTTGGGGTGGGGGGAAGCAGTGCTAGGAATTGGATCCAGGGCTTCCCACAGGCTAGTCAGGTGCTGTACCACTGAGCTATATCCCCAGTTCAAAATAGTAAATTAATTTACAACTCTAATTTTATTTTTAAAGATTTTGTTTTTGTTTTATCTATGTGTACCATGTTCATGTGGGTACCCAATGGGGTCAGAAGGGGGCTTGGAACCCTCTGGAACTGGAGTTATACGTGGTGGTGAGGTGCTGGCTGTGGGTACTGGAAACTGAACCCAGGTCCTCTGAAAGAGCAGCAAACTCTTAACTACTGAGCCATCTGTCCATCCACAGTAACAATTTTTTTTTTTTTTTTGTCTTTTTGAAACAGGGTCTCCCTGTAGCCCCAGCTGTCCTGGAACTCACTATGTAGACCAGGCTGGCCTGGAACTCACAGAGATCCACCTGCCTCTGCCTCCCAAGTGCTGGGACTACAGGCGTGCACCACCACGCCTAGCTAGTAACAATTTTTTAAAAGGGAAGCAGGAGTTGGACATGGTGGCTCACTGAAACTTATATACTGGCTGGGATCTCGCAGAGATCCACCTGCCTCTGCCTCTCAAGTAGTGGAATTAAAGGCATATGTCACCACATCCAGCTAAATAACTTTTAAGGTCCAGGTCCAGGCATTTTTCTAAATGTAAAAAATAACTTTGGTTGCTGGGCTCATGTCTCCTTTAGTCCCAGCACTTGGGAGGCAGACACAGAGGCAGGTGGATCTCTGTGAGATTGAGGCCAGCCTGGTCTTCGTAGCAAGTACCAGACCAGCTGGGGCTACATGGAGACAAACAAAAAAACTCAAAAACCTTGTGAGTTGGGCCTGGTAGCTCCTGCCTATGATATAATCCCAGGACTCATGAGGTTGAAGGAGAAAACACAACAAATAAGATGGAGAACGCTTTATTTTCACACATTTTGATGACATTCCATTGAACATTCTTTCCAGTGAAAAGGGACCATGAAAAGCAGCCTCCAACCGTTGGCAGCTGCTCTGCTCAGGGCCTGGGCTCCCCCTTGCCCAAGTGGTGAGGTGGAGGGGTGTACTTCCCCTCTTTGATTAGCTTATCCCGCTGTCTCTTGATGTCACCTATGCGCTTCATCTGTCAAGGGAAAAAAGCATTAAGGTAAAAGGAAATAAGCACCAGAAAGCAAGGACTGGAGCGACAGCTAGACTTGGGTTTCACTGTGTTAAACTCTGGAATCCTTTTAAGAGGTTCTGTGTGAGAGGAAGTCTACCTTGCAAAAAAAATTTCTGTCCCAAGGACTGAACTCAGGGCCTTGTACAGGCTAGGTAAATGCTGCCCCTAGCCCTGAAGTCTATCTTAAAAAGATTTACTTATGTTTATCTTATGAGTGTTTTGCCTACATATAAATATGTGTATCATATGTATGCCTGATGCCTGAAGGCTATAAGAAGGTGTCAGATCTTCTGGAACTGGAATTAGATAGTTGTGAGCTGCCATGTAGGTGCTGGGAATTAGACTCAGGTCTGCTATGCCATTTCTCCAGTCCCTACCTGTTTAAAAATAAAATTATTATTATTATTTAGTTATGTATATGTGTGTGTCTCTGCAGGTACCCACAGAAAAGGGCACTAGATTCCCTGGGGGCTGGAGTTATAGGGAGTTGTGAACCACTTGACATGGGTGCTATGAAGTGAACTTAGATGTTCTGGAAGAGTGTGTGTATGCTGCATGTATGGATTCCCTCAGAAGTCAGAGGAGGGTATTGGATCTCCTGGAGCTGGAGTTCTAGGCAGTTGTGAACTATCTGATATGGGTGCTAGGAACCAAACTCGGGTCCTCTGGAAGAGCAGCAAGTGCTCTTAACCACTGAGCCATCTCTCCAGCCCCTCTATTCTGTTTCTTAGTGTGTTTTTCCTGGCTCTCATTCTAGCTCACTTGCACTTGCTGTTTCCTCTGCCTGAATATTTTTCCTTCATATCCATGTGGCTTAATCCTCTACTCAATGTCTTCTAATGGTGGTCTCTTCTCCGATGTTAGCAACATCTACCTAACTCCCACCCTAATACTTTTCATTCTCTTTCTTCATCACACTATCACCAGACAAACTGTATTTTACTTCTTTTTCTGTCATTCCTCCATTCAAGCCCCCTCAATTTTAACTGCATAATGAAGAAAATAACAGTAACTCCTGACAGGACTATTCTGAGAAATAATACATTGTAGGTAAGTCCCATGAAGTCAGGGACTGTCTTTTTTGTTTACTGCTATATTCTTAGCACTTAGAATAGTTTCTGTTATGATATATGCTCCAGTAAGTAGCTCATGAATCTTCTCTCTCTCTCTCTCTCTCTCTCATTCATTCATTCATTCATTCATTTATTGAGACAGGATCTCCCTGTAGCCCCAGTTGGCCAGGAACTCACTCCATTCATTCATTCATTCATTCATTCATTCATTCATTCATTCATTCGAGACAGGACCTCCCTGTAACCCCAGTTGGCCAGGAACTCCTTATTTAGACCAGGCAGGCTTGGATCTCACAGAGATCTGTTTGCCTCTGCCTCTGAAGTGTTTGGATTAAAGGTGTCCACCACACCCAGCACACATGCAGTTTTTTACAACAAGGTACAAGCTAAGAAAAAATTGGGAGATGAGGAAGAATACGCCCTCCTCATATCCAAAGGCACTTAACTTATTATGGAAATAACAGGAAAGGCTGACCTCTATGAGTTTGAGCCTATCCTTGGGTACAGATGAGTTCCAGGCCAGCCAGGGCTACATAGACTCAGAAAAACCATACACACACACAAAACAAACCATTTCCGTGTAGCCCAAGAGACTAGAGATATAGCTCAGTGGCAGAATACATGTCTGACATGTGCAGAGCCCTGTGTTCAACCCCAGAACTACGGAAAAAAAAAAACAAAAACAAAAACCAAACAAACAGTGATTGACTGGGGGAGAGGAGCACGACACACAGTAGGGAAGTGATTTAGCTCCCATCTCCATTCTTTCCTCACCGTTTTGTGGCGAAGAACACACTCTTCGAAATCTTCATATTCTATCTTGCACTCTTTCTGAGCCCGGGTACCGCCGATTCCGTGGGCACATTCTATCCATTCTTTTTCAAAGGCATGGCACCGAGAAGGAATCCTGAAGGGCTGTTGAGCACTTGGGGTTGTCAAGTGCTGATCCAGGCTAATGCCCAGCCTTTTCTGCACATCCAAGAAAGGCATGGCTGAAACAGAATATAGAGAAAATTAGAATGCCACAAGAGGCAATCAAATGAGATAGTTCTAAGAAGAACAAGCCAATCATGAGATAGCTAATTCATAAGGTCCTACCGCCGCAATATCTTCTCACCAAACTTTATCATTTTTGGAGACAGGGTATCGTGTAGTCCAGACTAGACCAACTCACTATGTAGTCAAGGAAGGCCTTGAACTTCTGATTCTCCTGCCTCTGCCTCCCCAGTGCTGGAATTACCAAATTTTGCATTAGGTAGGTTCTTCTAATTTACTATAGATAAGCCATTTCGGGGCTTTAAGAAAAACTTATGGGGGCTGGAGACATGGCTCAGTGATTAAGAGCACTAACTGCTCTTGCAGAGTACCTAGGTTTGAATCACAGTACCCACATGGTGCCTAACAACCATCCATAATTCCAGTTCCAGGGGAATTCACTCGTCTGACCTCCTTGGGCATTGTGCAACACCGGTGCATTTGCATACATGCAGGCAATACAGTCATAAAATACTGAAATATTTTATTATAAAAAACAATAAATAGGCCGGGTGTGGTGGTGCACGCCTGTAGTCCCGGCACTTGGGAGGCAGAGGCTGGGGGATCTCTATGAGTTCAAGGCCAGCCTGGTCTAGATAATGAGTTCCAGGACAGCTGGGGCTAACAGGGAGACAAATAAAATGCATAATGTTGATTCAGAGAAAAAACAATAATACCCATAGGAAAAACTGCTTAAGAATGGAAGGAGGGGTGTTGGAGAACTGATTTATTAAAAGCATTTGCTGCTCCTGCAGAAGACCCAGGTTTGGTTCCCAGGACCCACATAGCAGCCACAACCATCTGTAACTCAGGTTCCAGGGGACTGACGCCCTCTTCTGGCCTTCGCAGGCACCAGTCACCCACGTGGTGCACATTCATACAAGCAGGCAAACATACACGTATAATGAAAAAATTTTAATCTTTTTTAAGACGATTGGAAAGTCCACACCAGTATCATTGTGCATGCATAAACTTAATGGTCAATTTCTCAAGTTTCTTCCCATTCTTTTGCTCATATACTGTGTAACTGCGTTATAGGCAGTAATGCGGCAAAGAACAGTTAGAGACCCACACGGAGTTCGAAGGAAGACGGCCCCAAGGGACTCCAGGACATTTGAAAGTGCCTTTACGACGAGTTAAGGATCTGCCAAAGAAGAGGGGCGACCGGCGTTAACTGCCGGGTGCTGGGCACGTCTAGGGACACTGAGGCCCCAGAATGCGCAGCGCAGAGTGCATGACGGGGGAAAGAAGGCAAAGTGCCTGTCGGAGGATGGGGAACGACGTGCCGCAGGAGCTCCGCGAGCTGGACTAAGAGTGGACGTCGGGTCGGAAAACCCGGGCCAGAGTCCGAGTTGGGCAGAAGGACGGGCTGACCGCAAGGGACAGCGGGGGACGTTGCTGTGGAGTGACGGGGCCTGGGCAGGCAGAAAACACGGCCACCCTAGCGGGAGGAAGCTGTCAGACGCCTGAGCGAAGACCCCTAACCACCGCGCACACAGCAGCGCCTACCGTCCCACCGCGGTGCCGCGACGACGACCTGGACGTAGGTCAGGACCGCCGGCTCCAGGAAGAGGGCAGAAGCCTGCCGTAAAGGACGCCCGCCGCGCGACGTTTGCAGCGCGACGCCGCGAGCCGACCTTCCTCCTGCCGGAAACCGTGTAAACCAGCCCCAGCGGTCTGCGCCTGCGCACCCACTGTCCTCCGGGGCTAGAGCCGTTGACAGCTGATAAGCTGCCTGTACTTAGCGGGCTCAGCTTGGGGGCAAATTTGTGTCACTAGGTTTGTTAACCTCACCGTACCTGTTTACCCTTTAGTTAAGAAATATAATAGCCATTTTTCTCGTCCTGCTGCGGGGCTCACTGGGAAAGGTGGTAAAACCGGGTCACCTTCGAGGAGCCGAAAGTTAGGGTTTCAGTTGTGTTTCACGGTACCCAGGCTTCGCCATCAAGGGCGTGTGCCTGATGCTCCCCATAGCGGCCACTACGTACATCCACAAGTTCACCAACCGGGGCAAGGAAAAAAAAGAGTCGCTCGATTTCCGTATCAGTGGGCTTTGATGGAACGAGATCGGCGTGTCTCTGGAGTCAATCGCTACTGTATGTCCAGGGGCTTGGAGAACATTGATTAAGGAAGGGTTCTCCTGACTGATGAGGAAAATGAATGAACATGCTCATTTATTCCTGATAGTATGTGTAACTTGCAAGAGAGCCATAAGCTTCCTTAAAGGAAGCCATAAAGACATAAATTCCTCAAGGTAGCCACACGGCCCAAATTGGAGGCTTGGCCTTTGATCAGGTCTTATTAACTAGTCACTTCCCTGGCTGACAGAGACTTGTTAATTCCTGCTGTGCCATAGCCTGCTCTGGTGGCCTGGCCTTATCAACTGATCACTACAGAGACTGTTTGCAGAGTCAACCTGCTGTACTAGCTCATCCTGAGAAAAAAGCCTGAGGAAGAAGACCCTCAAGTACCGCAAGGACACTGACACCAGACACCGAACAAATTCCTACAGATGCGTTCAGCAGGGTTCATATATAAATCCAAATTGCTCTGCTTGGCTTTGCAGATGTCTGTATCCATGGACAGCACTGGCTTTTGCTATATTCTCCTGATTAAAGAGGACATATTCCTTGCCTATTGCAGGCCTGGCTCTGGTTCTTATTTCTTTAAACTCCTTTTTCTGTTCTAACAATTCTCACTGGACAGCTACACAATATATTATATAGCACGCATTATGTTATGGAACATAAAAAATGAAAAAGAAGCTAGGTGTGGTGGTGCAGGCCTTTAATCCCAGCACTCAGGAGGCAGAGGCAGGTGGATCTCTATGAGTTCAAGGCTGGCGTGGTCTACATAGTGAGTTCCAGGTCAGCTGGGGCTACAGGGAGACCCTGTCTCAAAAAAAAAAATAGCTATAGAGTTTCTATATGGACTCAGTTACACATAAAGAGCTGAGGCTGTGGCTGGTACATAGAAAAAAAAGCACTCTGAGGTAGTCACAGTTCTTTCATGTATCAGCTTCTGGTTTGCAAATGGCACATGGCTTTTGATTTCATAACTCAGGAGGCTGAGACAGGAGGATGCCTTCGAGTTCAAGACCAGCCTGGGCTACATAGCGAGAGCCTGTCTCATAAAATAAATAAATAAATAAATAAATAAATAAATAAATAAATAAATAAATAAATAAGCAAATCCGAGAATCACTGCTTCTGGATAAATTCCTAAGGTCACAACTTGGTTTCATTCAAGGATTCCAACTTGCTCCAGTCCCCACTCCCTTTCTGAAGTCTTATGTTTGTGGGGAGAACGGTGGTGGAGGTAAATGTTCGTGTGAGGATACTTAGGAATAAGTTAAGAAAACAACGGAAGCCGGGTGTGATGGTACATGCCTTTAGTCCCAGCACTCAGGAGGCAGAGGCAGGTGGATCTCTGTGAGTTCAAGACCAGTCTGGTCTGCATAGTGAGTTCCAGGCCAGCTGGGGCTACAGGGAGACCGTTTCAAAAAGACCAAAAACAAAACAAAACACCTGAAGATGACCCTAAACAACTTTCTGATCCTCCTGTTTCCACCCAGAGTTCTGGGATTAAAGGCTGCACTACTTCACTCAACCCCAGCTCTAGTTAAATTATTTGTGTTTATGTGTATACATCTGTGTGAGTGTATGTGCATGTGTGTACAGGTCTGAACACATGAGCTATGAGCCCACATGGAGGTCAGAAGTTGTTGAGTGTCCTGTCATTTTTGGCTTAGTTCTTTGAGACAGGGTCTCTTCGTGACCTAGGCCCACTGTTTCTTGGCTAGGCTGGAAGTAAGCAATTCCAGAGATCCTCCTCTGTCTCTGTCCCCTTTGGAGCTGGGGTCACAGGTATGCCTGAGAAACGCTGCTTGTTACCTGGGTGCTGGGATTTGAATTCCCACCCTTATGATTATGTAGCAAGCACTCTTTTTTTTAAGAAAAAACTTTATTTTTTATTTTATGTGTATGAGTGTTATGCCTGCATGTATGTATGTAAGTACACCTGAGTTGATCAGTGCCCTCGGAGGTCAGAAGAAGATGTCGGATCCCCTGGAATTGGAATTACAGATGGTTGTTAACTGCCATGTGGATGCTGAGATTTGAACCCTGGTCTCCTGCAAGAGGAGCCAGTGCTCTTAACTGCTGAGCCATCTCTCCAGCCCTGTAGCACACTCTTGCCCCTCCCCACCCTATTTTTTTTTTTTTTTTGGTCTTTTTTGAGACAGGGTCTCCCTGTAGCCCCAGCTGTCCTGGAACTATGTAGACCAGGCTGGCCTTGAACTCACAGAGATCCACCTGCCTCTTCTTCCTGAGTGCTGGGATTAAAGGTGTGTACCACCAACGCCCGGCTCCTACTTTTGTTTTTTAGAAAAATCAGTCTTGATTGGGAGCTGGAGAGATGGCTCAGTGGTTAAGAACACTGGCTGTTCTTCCAGAAGTCCCAGATTTGATTCCCAGCACCCACATGGCTGCTAACAACTGTCCATAACTCCAGTTCCAGGGGATCTGACACTTTCTTCCGGCCTCTGTGGGCATTGAATGCATGTGGTACACTTACATACATGCAGGAAAAACTAATAGACACATCAAAAAAATTTGTCTGAATAGGCTGGGTGTGCTTTAGTCTGGTCTTTAGACACGTCTTTAGTTCCAGCAGAGGTAGAGGCAGACAGATCTCTGTGAATTCGAGGACAGCCTAGAACATAGTGAGTTCTAGGACAGCTGCGGCTACAGGGAGACCCTATCTCAAAAAGACTACAAATTTTTTTTTTTTTTTTTTTGTCTGATTGGGCTGGAGAGATGGCTCAGGAGCTAAGAGCACCTACTGCTTTTTCCAGAGGACCAAAGTTTGATTCTCCAATGCCTACATTGGGAAGTTCATAACCACTTGTAACTGGAGCCCCAAGGGATCTAACACCTCTGGCCTCCATGGGCACCCACACTCTCATGCACTCACAGACACACAAGTAGAAATAAGTCTTTAAAAAAATTAAAATCCCTAGTACTTGGGAGACAAAAGCAGTAGGATCAGGAGTTCAAGGTCATCCTGGTAACACAAGAAGTTTGAGTCCAACTTGGGCTGCTACAGACTCTATCTCAAAAACAAACCTGTGTGCTCGCTTCGGCAGCACATATACTAAAATTGGAACCATATAGAGAAGATTAATTAGCATAGCCCCTACGCAAGGATGACAGGCAAATTCGTGAAGTGGTTCATATTTTTTCCAGAAAGGGCCGAGGCCATGTGCCCTGCACGAACTGTGCCCAGTGTGTGCCTAAGGCCAAAACCATTAAGAAATTCATTATTCTGGGCTGGAGAGATGGCTCAGGGGTTAAGAACACTTGCTGTTCTTGCAGAAGACCCGGGTTGGAATCCCAGCACCCACATGGCAGCTAACAACTGTAATTCCAGTTCCAGGGGATCCAACAGCCTCTTCTCTCCTCTGAGGGCATTATGGGCACGGGTGCACTTACATGCATTCAGGCAATACACGCATACGCATACACGTTAAAAAAAAGTTCATTATTCCGAATATAGTAGAGGCCTCCCGCTGTCAGGGACATTTCAGAAGTGTCTTTGATGCTTATGTGCTTCCCAAGCTCTATATCAAGCTGCTTTACTGCGTGAGCTGTGCCATTCATAGCAAGGTGGTCCGGAACCCATCTGTTGAAGCTGGGAAACACCGAACACCCCCCACCACTACTTAGACCTGCTGGGGCTGACCCATCACCTCCACCAAAGCCCATGTAAAGACCTGACTTCACAAGGACAGAAGAAAAACCATCTTCCATGAAAATAAAATAGAAAATTTACTTTAAAGAAACAAATGTCTTTATTAGGTAAAATTTTTATGTAGCACACATTACTGCAGTTGTACATACAAATAGCTTGTAAAAAATATTTATTTGGGGTTTGAGTTAAACCCCAATATTTTTCCCCTTTTAAGTGGTGGCTTATCAAGTGTTTACAGCCAGGTATGGTAGTGCACATTTATAAATGAGTTCAAGTTCAGCCTGGGCTTTATGAGACCCTATCCCAAGAAAAGAAGTTTAGTCAAGCCTTTCAGGTTTTCCAGTCTCACTGTCCAAAGCCCCAAATAAGACCTTGCTGATCCATGAATAGTCCTGCCTTCTACCTTTTGATTCCTCTGGAATGACACTATTTCCATGTTACCCCTTTTCAAGCTCAATCCCTGCTTTGTCTCAACATCCAGTCCCCCCTGCCAGACAGGATCTCACTAGGCTGACTTAGAATTTGCAATCCTGCCTCAGCCTTCCAAGTGCTGGGATTACAGCTATGTAGCATGAGTTTGTTTTAGGATTTTTGTGGGTTTTGTTTGTTTTCCCTCCAATGAGTGAACCTCTTCCAAGGCCAAGGATCACCCATTCTGGAGAAAATTCCTAAGGTCCATAACCTGCTAGTTTCTTTCAAGCACTCCAACTTACTCCATCTCCACTCCTTCAGATGAATGCCCCACATGAAATCACTTTCATTTCCACTAGAATTTTCTGAACAATGTATGTCTGGCAGTAGATTATGCAATTGGTAAATCATGGTTCTTGCTTACAAAGGTCTAGCTAGGGGGAAGGTACTGATACCATCCTTTCAGAACCACCCCTCCTTTACATTTTCTTGTAAACCTGGGG